TCAGAATTCAAATCATTTGACATGTTACATACCCCCAAATGAGACTCAGACAGCGAGTACTGATGAAATGCCGCACGGCTTTTATTGAAAGAACTCTTCCCACCCCGACCTCCTCTGCCATAGGGAGGTCGTCGGTGGGTGCGTTGCTCCCGCGAGCCACCCATGGGTCTGTCTGGACCCGGGGGCCTCGTCGAGGGGGGACGATGGATAACAGAGCGCGGATACGGGTCAGGATGCCTCCCGGGCCAACGTTCTCTGCCTCTGTCCCGGCTCCGTGATGGCTGGTGGGCCTCGCGCCTCGGTGCGGGGCTAGCCTAGCCGAGTCTTTAGCTGCAGACTCCAGTCTCGCCACCAAGGCCTGCATGTCCGGGCCGAAGAGGGACATCTGAGAGGTGGGCAGGTCCAGCAGCTGCCTCCTCTCCGCCTCCCTGATATTAGCCAGCCCAAGCCAAAGGTGCCTGGCCCGACTTGGGCTGCAGCCATGGAGCGGCCACCATCCACAGCTAGCGTCTGGCACATGCGCAGAGTCGCAGCCGAGGTGGTCCTCGCCTGTGACAGGAGGTCTCCACTGAGCGCCTGTCCAGAAGAGAGCGACATATCCAGGGCCCCCGTGATGAATGCCATGTTGTTAGTCAATGCTGCATTGGCATAACATCTATCCAGCATCGCCAAGACATCCTGTCCCGCTCGGAGGGAAGGAGAGGTCTGGTGCCGGGCCACACGAATGCGGAGGGCTGCAGGGCCATGCGGACTGAATCCTCGATCACCGGTCCAGGACCAGTCCTGCCCGCTGCAGTACATGTCGTACCCCAGAGCAGGCCTCTTGGCTGCTAGGGGCTTAGGCCACTCACGTGTCGCGTAATGGACGAACGGGTCCATCTGCGGGCACAACGTGGGTCGCATCCTCCTCCTTCCTCGAGTGGTGGCACCCACCGAGGTGAAGTCCTCCACCGTCTGGATCCAGTGACGACGTCCGACGCCGGAGGGCGAAGGGAACTCGGACGAACAAGGAAGACATCTCAGAATGAAGTAAGTACTGTGGTAGATCTCAAACGGCGCCAGAGTGAAAGAGGGGGTGCGGCCTTGTGCAGGGGCATTTATAGAGGAGGGTGGCTGGTGATTGGAGCAAATTATTTTGATCTCTCTGGCGTGTGACCTGGGGGTCACGTGATATCCCACTAGCGAAGTCCTAAGGGACGTAGCACCATGACGTAGAATGGATACAGGTGAATATTATTGGGCCTAACCCTCCTGTTCAGATTTACACGCATTTTAACTTTTCTAAACCACAGCCCTTTCTGCTGCCCATAGGGATACATGGCGCAGGGGCGACTGTTGTCATAGTAACCTTTCCCGGGGGTTTGTATCAATATGTTGTCATTAGACTCTAAAGGGACTTGAGTCTTTTTTTTTTTTGGGAGAGGGAAATAGTTTTGAATTGAGAGGAGTACAGAATGAATAGAGCTGCAAGTACAAATATGAAGCTCTGGCAATGCTTCAAGACATTGAATAAGAACAGTCTGACGGAGGTGAGATGTCAGACTTTGAGGTGGAAAGTGACAGCGGGGAGAACACCTATAATATTCTATATCTGAACGTAAACCCGTAGTGCATTCACGGCACAGACAGCAGTGTTGTAACAAGTCCAGAAGCAATAACGCACGACCCGCGTAATGCCAGCCATACGCAGGTGTCTGTGTGCGCGCTGTCGCTCCATTCTGCCTTTTCATTCATCATCAATTACATTCTTATATTTATACATACAAGAAGGCAATACAGCAGAATACAATATCTCAATAAAATAGAACAATTATATGAACAATCAAGGCAGGAGCGCGGATGGAGCCCCGTGAGGCCTCTCGTCATCCGCGGACACCTGCAGGAGGAGAGCGACTGTGGGGCAGAGGCGGCCCTCAACAGGATGAAACATATGGAAGACTATTGGCACCTTAATTCAATTGTCTATTCATTTGTCAAATGGCTATGCATTATGTTATTTTAGTATTTATTTTGTATTTGTATTTGTCAAAGTGTAATGTTATATCCAATTTTGACATTTAATGTTCTATTCCAAAAGTTCTAATGGCAATTCAATATGTAAAGTGTCGATACAATGTCTTTATATATTGCAAATAACAAGATTTTGAAATGAATAGCATATTGCCATGGAAATTTGGCCTCTTTATTCATTGTTCTATTCATTCTTAACATGGCATTTAGTTTAGAGTTGTATTTGGCAAAATTGCATGTTATATCCTATTTTGACTTGTATTCCACATTTGAGTATGTTAAGTTTTATTTAATGTGTTGTGAAACAGCACCTCCCTCTGGATTGCATTGCATATTGCATATTGCATTGCCACATGGTTTGAGTGCAACTTAATTCAATATGCTATGCAGTTCTTGACCCCTGGGAAGGCGGGCCCTGGTCCGCTCTCGGCCAATCAGAGACTATCCTCCTAGCTAGATGCGTATGGAGCTATTATTGTTTCAATAATATTTGTGTGTGCGTAAACAGATTTGTGTGTGCGTAAAAAGATGTGTGCGTGCGTAACCAGATTTGTGTGTACGTAAAAAGTGTGTGTACGTAGAAATAAGGATATCATCCTTATTTCATCCAGATAACACTGTGTGTTATTCTGCACAGCGCGCACTGCAAGGCAATGATTATAATTTTGTTCTGATCATAAAGAGCGCTGCTTGTCTCAAATAAATACAAATGTATACATATATTTGTCTTTCTATCGTGTCCGTGTAAAATTGAAGATTTTACATTGACGATGGTAGCCTAGGTGATGATCTTGTGTCAATACAAATACTATTATTATTATCTAGATAATATTTCCCACGGTGATTTCGGCTGGAAAGAGAAAACAGTCTGGAGATGACGTAAGAAGTAGACGCATATAGCAGCCTTTCTAAACTATTATTTATACTGTTTGAATTTACATATTGTTACTGAGTCAAATCTAACATAAAGTGACCAACCTTTTAGGTGTTTGGAAAGTTACAAAATAAATCTAGCCTGAAAAGTCATTGTAATTTTGTTGAATCAGTACACGCGCAATGTGTCGTCTTAGCCTTTTATTTCGGCTAGAATTACAATTACTTAGCATATTTAGACAAATAATTTACACAGTTTCATTATGATCACGATTTCCTTGCAACATCAAGTTCTGGTTTAGTGAAAAATCTATTTGGCAAAAGGCTGTATCAGCGCAATATACATAGCAGTCAACTGACCGCAGGGGGCGGTGCAAGGCATGTTTAGAGCACGGCGGTCCTAGTGTTAAAAATGCATTTTCATTTCATTCATTTTTATGTTTTTCAGGTTCATACAGGATTCAGTTGTTTGACTTAAATACATAGATATAAATGTTTCTCCTATTCCCTTTAGAAACCTGAAACCTGAGAAGAAGTGAGACATAAGATAAACTTTTAATCGTCCCTCGGGGGAAATTTCAATGTGAAAGTTTTGCACATAAGAGCACTCAGATTAAGCACACATCAAACAGGATCTAATATTTCAGATAATAGATGATAAAATAATGAATGAATCAGAAAACATATAATCCCACCCTCAACTTTGTTCAAGCGGTCGAAGTGAGTTCCCTTCGCAGAGTGGCTGAGCGCCCTTAGAGGTAGGATGAGGAGGAGCTCAGTCACACGGAAGGAGCTCGGGGTAGAGCCGATGCTTCTCCACGTCGAGGGGGAACACGTAAATCTGCATCGAAAAACACAATTCATAACAAGTCATTCAGTCAATTCATCAGTCGACGCCATCTTAGTCGACCAAAATATACTGACATTTCTTTTGATGAAGGTGTTTGAGACTGAGGCAGAATAGAGAAGATGGAGCGAGTCAGAATGTGGGATGTAGAAATATTAAACATTTTCTTTTCATGAATACATATGATTTATTTATTTATTACAACAGTTACATTGGACAGACCAGATGCACTGCCATTAGTGTTAAAGCAAGACTATGCTAATTATCAACACTAATCCATAGGAGGCTTTTAGGACCTAAGTACATGCAATGAAAATACAAATATACAATTCATCAAATAATAATGAAACATGTGAAAAGATGTGCTCTGATTCCAGCCACAGTTGCAGACGTCTGCTGAAGATGTTGAAGTCAATTTGCAGTTTGATTTCAGTGGGAAGAGTGTTCCACAGTGGCAGAAACACTCAGCAGACCAACTGTTGCACAGAAAGTGACCAAGTGCAAAGATTGTTAGTTTGGTGTCACACAAAAAGTGAGTTTATGGAAGTGTGTGACTTTTTGCTCTACTTCCTGGAATGAGTCTTTGAAATTAGACCTATCTACTCAGGCCAATCTTATTTACTCAGTTAAAGGTATAGGAGGATCTTCTACTGGGTGGATCATCAAGACTATTGGTCCTCCCAATTGTCAATCATTCGGTTGATATGTGCTCGTCAAATAAGACAGGAGAGTTTTGTTCAAAAAGTGGAGAGGGCAGTTCTTTCCTAAAGTTTGGGAACATCCTCCTAATATACCTTTAAGTATGACCTTATATTGTGCACTCTGGAACACAGCAATTCTCGTAGAACCACCTCAAAGGGAATTGTTCAGTTAACTCGGTCAGTGGGTCAGGAACTTTCATGGATTTCAAGTAAAGGTAGAGAGACATGTGTTTGTTTGACAGGAACAGGAACATTCATAAACATTACTGTAAATGCACCAGAATTATTCACAAGACTGTTTTCCCTCGACTGATGTTGAAAAGCTCCCTCCACACTGAGGTCTGCACACCTCTCTGTTTACAGATGTTTTGTGCAGAGACTTCCTCTAATACAGACCTCCTTCACAAATGTCTCCAAGTCCACATCAGTCATAATGAGAGGACGGACCTGGTTGGGACTTGTCCTTTAAAAGAAGACACTTAGGACTTTACAGAAAGATCCCGGTTCTGGACTCCTGAAGGCAAAGAGGGGACGCCCCATATCTCCTGAGGACCACAATAGAAGCTGAAATGATGGAACAAAACCTCATCCACAAAAGGCTGAAGCCCCACAGGGATGAAGAGATCTTTTGCTGCTCTAGAGCAAACGAGCAATGGGCAAAAAGTAAGAAAGTATTAGTTTGAGAGAATACTCAAAACAATAATGAACTCAAGCAGTTTTTAAATATATACTTTCTTGAAACTATATTTTTGATGTGGTGAATAGTCTCTTCTATTCAAAGTCTATGATTTTGAATATGAAAATGATGCAGGAAAAGTTGGAAAAACTGTGTATCCGTGTTTCATCTCATTTGTGTTGGAGTTGTGTCGCCTCTTTGTTTCGTTCATTTACATTTGACCAAAAAAAAACTGTGAAAATGTGTTTGGGTTTTTCCCACACACAGGTGAGCAGAGAGAGCAGACTTTAAAATGCGCGTGATGTGCCACACTAGTTTAGACCTGGTTCAGACCTGGTTCAATCCTGGTTCAGTTCTGGTCCAGTCCTGCTTTAGTCTGGGTTTTCAGGTGAAGATGGATCAGACGTTGCTGCTCTCCGTGCTGCTGAGTGAGTTTTAGTTACTCTTCCTTATATTTGTCTACTCCACATGTATTTTAACATTTAACTGTAAATGCAATCGTTAAAAGATTTCCCAAACATCATTTAGTTCTGGTGTGATTTTAAAACCAATAATCCTGAAATATGAAAATTCACTTCAAAGTAAAGGAAAATTATCTGCCAACGGACAAGACATTTTGTCCTTAAAACATTATATTCATATTTACTTAGATAAAGGAGAGCAAAAACCAACTGCTCCAAGTAATGATAATTGAATGGTTGATTAATAAACTTTGTAATTTCTTAATCCACAGACAGAATAATGTCTTTGAAAAAGTCTAATCTTCTAAAATATCTAAATACCATTATTTGAACTCCTGAAGATATGTTTAGTTTGTGTTTTCTCCCTGTAGGTCAGCTGTGTTGGTCAGTGTCTCTGGACCTTCAGTACCACTTTATAGATAAGAAGATGTCGTGGTCTGAGGCTCAGAGTCACTGCAGAGAGCAGCACACAGACCTGGCCTCAGTGAACGACATGAAGGACCTGAAGAACCTGAAGGCTGCTGCAAACGGACGCACGGACGCCTGGATCGGACTTCATCAAACCAGTGACAAACTCACAGACAAGAAATGGCACTGGTCTCAGCCCACAGTCAGATACAAGGAAGGAGACGCTCCGTGGGCACCAGGGGAACCTAATGATTCTGGAGGAATTGAAAACTGTGGCATGATTATAACTGTCATACACCACATTGTTTTATCTGCTACAACGGTGAGGAAACAGTTTTTACTTTAAACACACATTAAACAAAACAAGCTTATTTATTTATGACCTTTATATTACTGTGTTATTAATCTCATTTATGAACAGTTCATATTATTACTTGTAAAGTCAAAGATGTGGCACAGGGGTCAAGTTTGTGTTAAATCGTTTTAGTGATTTTAAAATGTGCATTTTTTTTACCTTGTTAATACTATGTTTCCTTGTCATGATCTTATCCAAACTGTCATTTTCTTGCATCATAAACATCAGAAATCAGAAAAAAAATGTTTTACTGTTTTAACTTAATTTTTTTCCAAATTTCGGACTTTGAATTAAATAGTTATTTATTATTATATACAAAAAAATTCAACATTAAAAGCACAAATCCAGTGCTGTAACTGAACTCATCTGCTGTTTATCAGTTCTGTAGATGTGAACAGGAAGACTTTGAACCTATTTCTATTTCAATAGTTTAATAATAATAAAAACCCAACGACTGTAACATTTATCTCTGGACCTCAACATTTTCAGTCCTTAATAAAGATGAATAAAATAATATTGTCTTCTCTTGTTCCACAGACTCCTCCAACAGAACTACTGTCATGATCAATGATGCCACAAACCATAGAACCTGGTTAAAGGCTCAGCAGTTCTGCAGAACTCACCACACTGACCTGATGAGTGGACTGGACCAGTACAAACTGTTTCAGGAACAGAACCTTAAGCTTCCTTCAAATTGTTTGATCGGTCTGTTCCGGGACACCTGGAGCTGGTCCGACAGAAGCGACTCCTCTTTCAGAAACTGGAATAAAGGTCAATCGATCTATTTAATGGAAAAGAAATGTGTAGCACTGGGAGCCGAGGGCCGATGGGAGAGCGACGACTGTGGAGTAAAGAAAAGCTTCATCTGTGAAGGAGGTAAGAGAACAAGCAACAACTATTCAAGTCATGGGAGAAAGAACGTGTTTTACTTCACTTGATTCAAGTCGGTTTGAAAATACAATATGGATGATACAGTTTTATTCTAGGCATATTTCACAGACAAACTTTATTATTTTTCAGGTCCAAAGAGAAAAAAGACTTTGGTGAAAATAAAAATGTCCTCACCAGTGGATCCCAACAAATTCAGCTCCGAAATATTGCAACAGGTTTGTGTAGTTAAGACTTTGAATATTTTCTGAAACGTGACAACATTAAAACAGGAGAATTCAGAATCAATATAATACTGATATTTCCAACAGGACAATAACGTTTACCTTCACCTTACGTACATTTCTTTACTTGGAATAATGAACCTTCTCCATTTTCTTTAGCTGCAAAAACAGTTTGAAGCGAACAACCTGGGAGACGTCAAACTGACCTGGAAGAAAGACGAAAACCAACCCGTTTTCAAAAAGCAAAAATCTTCCACAGAGAAAAAATCTTCCTCAAAGAAAAAATCTTCCTCAAAGAAAACTGAACTTTAATTGTGTGGCGCATTCGATTGAGCAGAGTGTGTGTCATGTTTCTCAGAGATGAACGCTCTAGAAGCAGTTTTTCATCACGTGTGAGTGTATTGTATGTATTTACTTGTGGGTGAGGGGTTTCTTGTTCATGGGATCAGGCCTAAAGAGCTGCTTTTACAACATCTCTGCACCTCCTGCTGATTCTTTATCATCTAGTATATTTACATCCATTGTGTGTGGTGTCATTTGTTCCATTCATTTAATCGACCCAAAAAAAAGAGTGATAATGTTGTTTTTATGATGATGTGTTTAATTGTGTGGTTAACTAAAAGGTTTTGTATCTGCACTTTTCTTTTAAAATTAAATCTACTTCAATAATTTGTGTTTTTCTTGCTGTATGATTATTTTGATATAGTTTGTGATGAACTTTGATTTCCTGAACGATAACTTTGCATTTTGATGTTTGCTATAACAAAATAAAGCTAATCTTTTGCCAGCTTGATCCACAACGCTTCATTTGTCCAGCAGGGGGAGCTGTACATAGGTTAACTTAAACAGTAAAATTATATGTGGTAGGAGTAGTTCTTGTCCAGGTAAATCCAATTCAAAGTGTAAAATAATTCGGACAACATAATGATTGGTTATTTCCCTTACTTTTTATGATATAGGCTCATTATAAAACTATGAGTTTTTAAGTGTCAGTTTTTTCCCAGTGGCTGCATGATTGGTCAGCATGGTCTCTACAAGCACAATCTACATACAGTAGAATGTGCTCATGATTATCATTTATTATGGGACTTGCTTGAGGGACGTTTTTACAGTGTATGTGTCATAACCATCACTATGAAAAATACTCCAGAGCCCTGACTGCTAACATAATGGATACAGGTGAATATTATTGGGCCTAACCCTCCTGTTCAGATTTACACGCATTTTAACTTTTCTAAACCACAGCCCTTTCTGCTGCCCACAGGGATACATGGCGAAGGGGCGACTGTTGTCATAGTAACCTTTCCCGGGGGTTTGTATCAATATGTTGTCATTAGACTCTTAAGGGACTTGAGTTTTTTTTTTTATTTGGGAGAGGGAAAGAGTTTTGAATTGAGAGGAGTACAGAATGAATAGAGCTGCAAGTACAAATATGAAGCTCTGGCAATGCTTCAAGACATTGAATAAGAACAGTCTGACGGAGGTGAGATGTCAGACTTTGAGGTGGAAAGTGACAGCGGGGAGAACACCTATAATATTCTATATCTGAACGTAAACCCATAGTGCATTCACGGCACAGACAGCAGTGTTGTAACAAGTCCAGAAGCAGGTGTGGTGTCTGTGTGCGCGCTGTTGCTCCATTCTGCCTTTTCATTCATCATCAATTACATTCTTATATTTATACATACAAGAAGGCAATACAGCAGAATACAATATCTCAATAAAATAGAACAATTATATGAACAATCAAGGCAGGAGCGCGGATTGTTCATAGGTGATGATCTTGTGTCAATACGAATACTATTATTATTATCTAGATAATATTTCCCACGGTGATTTCGGCTGGAAAGAGAAAACAGTCTGGAGATGACGTAAGAAGTAGACGCATATAGCAGCTTTTCTAAACTATTATTTATACTGTTTGAATTTACATATTGTTACTGAGTCAAATCTAACATAAAGTGACCAACCTTTTAGGTGTTTGCAAAGTTACAAAATAAATCTAGCCTGAAAAGTCATTGTAATTTTGTTGAATCAGTACACGCACAATGCGTCGTCTTAGCCTTTAATTTTGGCTAGAATTACAATTACTTGGCATATTTAGACAAATAATTTACACAGTTTCATTATGATCACGATTTCCTTGCAACATCAAGTTCTGGTTTAGTGAAAAATCTATTTGGCAAAAGGCTGTATCAGCGCAATATACATAGCAGTCAACTGACCGCAGGGGGCGGTGCAAGGCATGTTTAGAGCACGGCGGTCCTAGTGTTAAAAATGCATTTTCATTTCATTCATTTTTATGTTTTTCAGGTTCATACAGGATTCAGTTGTTTGACTTAAATACATAGATATAAATGTTTCTCTTATTCCCTATAGAAACCTGAAACCTGAGAAGAAGTGAGACATAAGATAAGATAAACTTTTAATCGTCCCTCGGGGGAAATTTCAATGTGATAGTTTTGCACATAAGAGCACTCAGATTAAGCACACATCAAACAGGATCTAATATTTCAGATAATAGATGATAAAATAATGAATCAATCAGTGTTAACGCTGGTTCAGCCACGGTTTCTCCTTCGATGAAAAATGGACCACAAATTCTGCTTAGATATATAAAAAAGGTTTAATATATAAAAGACAGAATATAAGATACAGACAAGTGGCAGACTGCTTGATCCAGTCCGGGTCCTCTCCCTTGCACACCCAAAGCAAAAAGACCCTGTTTCAAGACAGGCTATCGATGAAAAGCACACAGTCACATGACCTGATAATTGAAAACACATGTCTCACCATCCTTAGGTGAACACAATAGCCCTCTGTTCAGGACACACAAATAGCCCCTGTATAAGTAAGCCTGAGGCTATAACAGATGTTTTCTGGTAATCTAACTTCCTGTGTATAATAGCTGGGGGTGGGTTGGTTCCACACATTCTTCACTCTGCAGACTAGCTACTAGATCCATACTAGACTAAACGTTACATTTATTAATATGATAATAACACAATAACATACTCCATTGACATAATTCCCCCCTATTCATAATATATAAATGTAAAGTTTCAACATCCAGCATTACATCTCTTCTCAGTTTTCTGCAATACCTTCATAACAAACTTACACAGAAATATCAAAATTATCATTTACATTTGTGTGAGCTAACAACGCTTGACATTGATCCGAAAACAATGTGTCTGCAACTGCAGTGTTTATCATTCTGTTGGTTAAAGACTTCGCACATGGCAACAAACAAGTGACAAATATGCAAAATAAAACCAAAATCATTATTGCAGGTGTCGCTATTTTCAATATCAGTTGCCACCATGCTCCAGTAGAAAACCATGACAATAAGTCCCAATTCATGTTGTCATTGTCTCGCTCACTTAGCATCTCAGTTTTAAGACTTTTTAGCCGATCCAAAATTAGTGAATAATTTGAGTTGGATGATGGAATGAACATACAACAATGATCCTTAATTAACTGACACACACCACCAGTTTCAGATAAAACAAAATCTAATGCCACTCGATTCTGCATGATCATTTGACGCATAGCCTCTTTCTCTGAATCTCCCCTGATTTGTTCAGTGAGGTCCATGACAATATTAGTCAAATTCTCCAAATTCCATGCAATATCATTCATCCTATGACTTAAATATGCAACTCCATACATGGGAAGGCTGTCATGAACACTCCTCTTACATCTGAGATTAAAGGTGGGCTTCTGGCCGCTGTGGCAGCAGCCCTTTTCTGCCTCTGGCCCAAGTGCTGTGTCAAGTTATCACTTGAAATGATATAGGAGGCCGGACCTAGGGTGGCCAGATGACAAGTTCCACACCATCTCTCTGGAATCCACAGATACACTTTATCTCCACAAACCCACACCTGGTTTGACGGGCATGGATAGCCCCAAAACCCCGGGACCTCCACCAAAAAAGCTGGGTATGAGTGCCAGTTGGCCACTCCACTGACCTCACCCACTTTAGTGAAATTAATCACTGGGAACTCCCGTGCGGTCGGAGTAGTAGTGAAGTATAACCTGTGGTGTATCTCAGAGGTTTGTTGGTTATATGTGGCAATAGGCAGAACATCATCACAGGTGGATGTTCCTACATATTGGTTAGCATCCTCCCAGGGCCCCGGCACATTGCATTTCCTACTCAGACACAGAGGAGAATTGGCTGGAAATCGAGTCACAGTCACACCTTTCTCATTAGTCATATTTGTACTTAAAGAGAAGTTCAATGGAACTCTCCAATCTGCTACCTTTTGAATTGGAAGAGTAGTGCAATTTGGCAGCCATTCCACATATTTAGAGTAGTTCATGCCAATTGAATGTAAGGTATAAAAAGCCATAGTGCATATAGTTGTTAAAGCTGAGACTGGATGTGGTGTTATATAAGGATTTGAATTTGAATGATGAGGAACAAATGCACAAACATAACAATCTGACATATTGTTTGCCTGAGCCGTTATTTCAGCCATGCGATACCAGTAGTTGTCTTTATAATGATCTACATCTATTTCTGCTCTAGCTGTACGCTTGACATTATTATATTGTTGACTCCCCCACCAGAGCAGTGATGGAACCACAATAACTATCAATGTAATCAGTATTATTAGACCACTACTGCATCGAAGTCCATGTCGAGTGGAGAATACTTTGAAGACCATCTTGTAAACAGTCCTTTTTGAAACAGTCCAATTCACCAATATCACAAGATGAGAGGTTACTAGCACATCATCAAGTTGTACAAACTGTGTTTCTTGTGCATTAAACCACTGGAGGATCTCCCTGCTTCACTGACTGTTGAGACGAGCACATCTGCCCCCCTTTGTAGGTCAGCCTTCCCCTCCGCTGTGGTTGACACAAAATCTCTCAGATTTCTCTTTTTGCAGTGTGAGAGGTGAATCCACGTGGGCCTTTCTGCTATCTTCACAGCAGTGGGTGTCGTCAGAAGCACTTGATGCGGACCTTCCCACCGTGGACTAGACCAGGACTTTCGTTTGATGACTTTCACAAACACCCAGTCTCCAACTCGAACAGGCAGCTCCTGTGCACAAAATGGTTGACTCGGAACATTATTTGTTTCTTGACACGCTCTAGTCAGTAATGTTTTTCTCATATAGTCAGCCAACGTAGGATTATCATCAGGAGAGAACTGCTTATTTGGCTGTAAATCTGGAAGTGTGTATGACCTACCATATAATATTTCAAATGGTGTCAATGCACTACCCTGAGTAGGTGTTATATGCATGCTTAACTGTACCAAGTCTATGCATTCAGGCCATTGTCTGTTTGTTTCCTCCATG